AAAGGAGGGAAAAAAATTGATTGAGTACGAATTGAAACATCAATGGAAAACGTGATTCAATCGTTAATATTGATTTTAAACTCAATTCAATCGGATCGAAAAGTGAGCGAGTTACCTTTTTTTCTCTCGTTGTTGCAAAAGGCCATCTCTATTCCGGTGCAGTGCCACATTTGACATTTTCTTAGTCCACATACAGTTCTGCTATCCGATTTTGTGATCATTTCGTCTGAACGAGTCTTTGTTTTTCATTAAGTGGCGAACAGAAACGGCAAAAAGCTGAACGGCAACATCATTCACCGTGAAAATAATACGAGAGTAAAAAATGGATGCGATTCATTGAGTCGTGTAGCAAACGAGTCTTTTGATCCATTTCAATTCCATGCCATGCCACCAGTGTTTGGTTGAGATAAATGAAATTTATCTAGATAATGTCGAGATAATTATCTATCTTTTGTTGAAAAAGATAAGATTATCTTATCTTTATCTGAGTTTCTAGTCAGATAAAAGCCTATTGAAGGCTATGACATTAGTTTCTTTTTTATAACAGAATTTTGCACTGAACATTTGTATGAATTTGAATAAATCGACAATTGGCTGTCAATTCACGTTTCGCTCCGGAGAGTTTGAAACGATTCTAGGCAGAATAAAGTGAATCAAATAGATTTTAAGGTCATAAGTTTCAAAACAACAAATTTATAATTTCATAACTTCTCGGCTTTGTATACAAAAATCAGTTTTTTTCACCAAAAATTCAATTGTCATGGTGGTTTCGAATACATTTTTCAAGCCGAATATTCATATCAAATCTCACATCAGATTCATTGAAGACGGTCTATGAAACTCGAAGCATAAAGCCGAAATTGAAAATTTTCAATAATTTGAATTATTGGAGACATAAAAATTAAAAGAAAAGGAAATAATCTGTTTGTTTTGATGAATGATGAGTCGAACAAACGATTGAGAATAAAATATCAATCAAAAATTGAACGAAAATGTAAAAAAAAAATGTTAAAATGTTCCGTAAAACTCAAATGTTTTTCATTCAAAACCCACCCGTTCTACTTATTAAGCCTTTGTTTATCTTAAAATTTATCTAAAATATGACAATAGATAATTGGAAAAATATGAAGAAAAGATAAAGATAAGATAAATCCGCAAAATGAATTTTCCATCTAGATAAGATAAAAGATAATATCTTATCTATCTTATCTGGTTATCTCATCTTAAGATATTATCTCAACCAAACACTGCATGCCACACAATATGCAATAAAACATATTCCGATGCAATTTATATCATTTTGCTGCATATTTTATAAGCTAACTAAATAAATTGGTTTGGAGGAATTTTCTCGGAAACGAGTCTATGGCCACCGATTTTCCGCCATGCAATCACACATCCAGTCAAGTGTTTCTGCAGAGAATCACGAATGCGGCAGAGGGGAGAAGATTTGTGTCACAAAACCACACAATAATTGGGTTTGTTTTGCGAACGATTAGACAGATGCCTCAAGCCTCAAGTGACATTCGGAAAATAAACATTTCAAATTCAAATGTCAATGCCAAATGAATCCAGTGCAATTCAAACATAAGGACATTGACAAATTCGATTTATTTTCTATCTCACTATTGTCTCTTTGAAAAATCATTAAAAACGAATATATGTATAAAAATGTGCAAATAAAAATATGAAAAATTGCACTTAACCCCAAACTAAATGTTGAGTGGCAGACCAATTGAATGGTTATATTATATTCTTCTTTGTGCTCACCAAATTTATTACAACGAATTCGTTTCTTCAACAATCTTTTGTTTTTGTCGACAAAAAAAGGAAGAAAAGAGTAAAAGAAAAGAAACCCATGCGCTGCTTCGAATGAAAGCGAATGAATTGAATATTATTTTTCTCCCATATAGACACGCGATGCACTTGTTGCCGTGCATACGAACTCAAGTGCTCGCAAACACAAAATGTATATATACACTTCACTTCCAAATGGAATGGAAACATGTGAGAATCGCAAATTTGTCGTTCGAAATGCGCGTGGAATCCACTTGGCTGCGGGGATAATATACTTTTTTATCATTTTTTTTCTGTTCAGAAGGATCACAATAGATTTGATTCGCATCATCTGGGAACATATAAAATGACACTTTTGGACGGGATTATAGATATATATGAAGACTCTATGGGAAAGAAATCCATTTTTCTGGATCATTTTCTTTTCTTGGTCTCTATCTATAACTCTCGCTTCCAAACTCACTTTGTCGAACGATGGGTGTATCCTCTTTTCTTTGTCACCCTGAAAAACTTTTTCCAAATTTTAAAATGGTAATTCTTGATTTCAAAATCCTTTTTTCCCGCAAAATTTTGGTACGCTCAATGATTATGGCCAGTATAGAAAAAAAATGAAAAGCGTATGATGGGGTTACGGGCGGTAACTATGTGCAATTCTGACGAATGAACGGATAGAGATTAAAAAAAAAACTGACGGGAACCCGAGCCGAAGTGATAAGCTTATTTAAATGAAAAAGCCCGAGGAATCATTCTGATTAACAATGTAGCGTTTAAACGCATAATACTCTTGGTCTCGTCATTTTGCCATGTGACACGAAATGAGATGGCATTTTGAATAAGCCGTCAGCTTTTGAGCATGAACATTTCCATTTAATCACGAACCAATGAAGAAAAAAAAACCAACCCCGTATAACAAGTACTTAAAACTAGCATCAATTGTAGCAATTGTGTATAATCGGATGAAATTTTTTGAAATGGTTTTTTTTTATTTCTCGGTTGTGTGCAGCAAAAGGGCAGATGATGCCTTACAATATGGTATCGGCAGGTGAAATGGAAAATTTTGTATGTAAAAAAAAGCGACTGAAAATCTTCCAAACATTAATCATATGTGCAACTATGTGAATGAATGAATGAATGAATGAAAAGATGACGAAAAAAAATCGATGTGGCCCAATGACTATGGCAAATTTTGTGTTGAAATTTTGATACGGATTCCTTTTTACTACACTTTTTTCATTCTCATTCGTCTCGAAAAATGTGCTGAAATTGAAAGTTAAGCCAAGCAAAAGGAAAAAAAGTGACGAAAACCAGACAAAATAATGATAGATGTTTCATTTTTCATCTCAATACAAGTTTTCAATATTTGCGTCCCACATCTATCATTTCGTCGAAAGCATCAGAAGAGAGAATGCGAGAAATATTGATGAGATTTGGATTTTTTTTTTGAATCACTGGGTAAACTTTAACTCGCCTCCAACGTGATGATGTGAACCCATATAATTTATTCAATATGTGACTGAAGGAGAGTCAGAGGGAGAGAAAAAAACGCAGCACAAGGTTCAAATTGGTTAATTTCCTGGTATAAGTTTGTTTGCTGTGTTGAAGAGCGTGTTACCGATGAAGCCGTACACAGAGATAGAATGTTGTTGAAAGGAAGTTTCGTGCCAATGGTATGTGTGCGTGTATCTGTATGCTTGATAAATCACGCTTGACTAATGATAATTGCTGGCCATTGTTTTAATTGCTGTTCTTCGTCATCGCATCGACATAGCAAATACAATCCCGGAAAAATCGCTGTTCGATACACACGATTTCGTTTCCCGTCTAATATTTTATTCGGGATTTTCCTACTACAAAATCAAGATGTATGGTACAACAAGCGAGCATTTGCCATTTTTTCTAAGCAGAACATCTTTTTTCTAAATCCATCGCAATTTCTACGAAATCTTTTAATCTTCTAAACTCTCGCTACACACCGAGACACAATTACAAGAATAAAAATCGAATTGACACAAAATACTCACTTGATTTCAATAATTGTCTGTGCGTCGGGAGCCTTAAATGCAATTAACGAATACGATGTCTGGTTTATGTACTATTTTTCGCGCGAACCGAATAAAGCAAATAAAGACGATTATCCTCGGGTTGTGTGTGTGTGTGTATGGGTATGATCGTTTCGCGGCGCATTCAAATGCAAATCGGAAATCGCTTTGTATTTTTCAGCACTTGAAACTTTAAAATAAAGCTTATTGATTTGCAAAATATTGATTTATCATCATTTATTCGTATGATGAATTGATTATTTTTTCTCTTTTTTTTGTTTGCGTAGGTTTTTGCTACTCAATTTTTGTGTTGTGGTTTTACTAATGATTCGTGGAAAAAATCGTGTGAGGCGTCGTCGTGTTTATTTGCAGCATGCGGTGAAATAGTCTCTGAATCTAAAAACATTACATCATTTCATTGGCCTCGGCAAAAAAGGAAAAGGAAAGGAAAAAAGTGAATTTATTCGCTCATACAATGAGCGCGATAGTGGTGCGTTGATCTTGTTCAGTCACTTTTCCAAGGGCTGTGTCTCGACAATGATATCGAAAATTGTTGAATGGACTTTTAATGCCGACTAATGTTAGTACCACATAATGAAAATGTGTCGAAAAATATCTAATGCGATTTTTCCCGTTGTTTTTCTTCTTTTCCCGTCTTTCTTTCTCTCAATCTATCTCTTTCACCCACACTCTCTTTTCCCTCGATTGGATTTTATGCTAAAAGCACACACTGGGCCACAAGCATACCAGATTGTACATATACATGGAATACCAAATTGTTATTTGCTATTTAGTGCCATTTATTTATCACTTGGCTCTTATTCGATAAATGTGCTGTTTTTGAGTGTATCTCGTCGTCGTTCATTCGCGCGCGTTTCACGTTCGATTCGTTTGCACGGTCTGTCTATCTATCTCATTGGCTTGGATGATTTTGTTCATCGATGAGCGTATGTGTGTGTGTGTGTGTGTGTGAGTATGGTGCGTCGTTTGCGCTATGTCTTACTTAGATTAAATGATATATGGTTTTATTAAACTTTGCCAAAGAAAATGACTCTCATTTCCACAACCCACTAATCAACAAGCACTCTTTATCACATTGCCATTCTCATTTTAATAAGCAACACTGTTGCATTGACTGGCTGTTGCCATTTTTACTGCTTTTACTTGTTTTACTGCTGCTGCTGCTTTTGGTGCTTCTGATGTCACAAGCTTTGAAGACACGGACGACGGACACTATATACATATATCGCGTTCTCGTCTCGAAATTCAAACCACTTTTGCAACTTATGAACGTTTGAATGGATCGTTTTTCCTTTTTATTCGATCAATTATTATCGACATCAATTTTTGGCGCGCATAGAAGGGGAGAGAAGAATTTGGTATTTTCTTATTCTCGTTTCACTCATCGAAATTCTTGCGCTTTGGCTACTGCTGCTGCTGCTGTTGAACACTCACTCAACAATTATTGTAAAACATCTCTCTAAATATTGTGTGCTTCACACAGTAACAAAGCAGCTCCACATTTCAGATCGCCGCAAATGAATAATTTATCACTTTTGCCGTTTGTATGCTTGCTACTTTTTGGCATAGTTCCTTGTAATGCTGATATTATTGCCACACTAAGCATCCCATAATAATCCTTGATACCGAATTTTCGGAATATATTTTGGTGGCGCGTGAATTCATTTATATTCGGTAATTTTCGAGCACAGAGTTTATTTGTTTATTTGGTCAAAATTTAAAGGACGAAATGAATTTTGTTCGTCAGTTGGGTTCTTTGTTATCAACTTGTTTATCAGTTAATATGATGATGTTCGCTCTCGATATAATTGCAAATAATATTTTATTCGTTTTTCTCTCTCTCTTTATTAATTTGATTCAGTTTAATGCGATTTATTCAATAACGACCGTTAATTTTAAAATTTCACAACACACTTTCCACTGTGGCACACTGCACCCATTTGACATGTGAAATGGTGAAACAAGTTTTTTTGAACAGAGGGAAAAAAGTATTTTTGCTTCATTCACAATTATATGAATCAAGTTTACAATGAGTTCGTCATCATTGTGGCTGCTGTTGTTGTTGTCGTCAAACCAATTCCAAATTGCATTACACTGAATGAGTTTTATTTTAATCAAATTTGATGTGTATGTGAGTGTGTGTGTGTGTGTCTGTGTCCGTGTCCGGTTTGATGAAAGGAGAGAAAAAAAAGCACAACAAACGCGATCACTGGAAATATCATCACACCACACGAAGGAACGAATCAGAGACGAACTCACGGCGCACACAAGCGATTTAGTTCAATGTTGAAATCAAACTGTTTGGTCCATTTGCCCATTGAGACGGTTTGGCTTGGCTTCGTTTGGTTTTGTTTGCTTTCGAAACGGCGTATTCAAGCTCGCTCACTCATTCTCACAACGTTGTCGTACACCGACACACTGGGATTGTATGCTGCTTTGTTTCCGTTTTGTTGGATGTTTCATGTTCTACTCATATTTTCGTACATTGCTGCTGCTACTGCTGATGCTAATGATGCTGCTGCTGCTGCTGCGGCTCTGTGATGTTGATGCTGTTGCTCTCTATCCACATTTGTGTGTACAGGCAAGAATCCTTGCCGTTCGCTTGTTCCTTCGAAACGCGCGCTCACTGAGATGAACATCATTACGCATACATCGCTGACAATTATTCACTGTTCATCGATACGAGCACGAGATGTGTGAGCAAAATGCGTTTGGCACACAGCCACATACTCTAACTCTTGTCGCCGCTCTCTCTCTCTCGTCAGGATAGCGCGAAATTCATGTAAAAATTCTCATTTCAATGCACCGAGTTACGAGAAAAAACCGTTACACATGTGGCCCCCAAAATCTCGGTGTTTGTCGACTGCGTTTCGACTTCGGCTTATGTTTCGTTAAAAAAAACATCGCATTTGGCATGCGTTCGCAAATCAAGTGTCTTAAATCTGACTTGTTCTCTTGTCTGGCTGAGCACAAACAATGTTCATTTGATCAAACGAGCTGTCGGGCCTATAGTGCGGGATGTGACGTGGTGTATCAAGTGTTTTATGCTAACCTCAGTCCATATGCAAAGTATTGTGCATTTTTTATCCTTATCACACACACACACACACACAACCCGGTCTGTCATTTGATTATCAATTTTACGCTTTCTCTTTGCTGCACTGTTTTTCTTCATTATGATTTTAAGTACTTGCGTTTGGCATCAGCTTGCATTCTATCACACGTAAATTTTGTCGCGCTTTGACTCCTTCAAATGGCACATTAGCATGGTTTTGTATTTCAGGTGCGATTGTCTATTGTATGCGAAACGGCCGTGTGTGTGTGTGCGTGTGTTTGTTTGTTCTAATTTGAATAAACATCACCGATTACAAGTTGGCAGAATGATGTTGGTGCCGTGTGTAAAATGAGCAAACATTTTGATGCCATCTAAATCACGAGTCTCCGACATTTTTCACACACAAACACACATAGACACGCTTACGAAATGAGAGACCATGGTGTGGAATGAATTGGTGCAGCATATCCATAATCTGTAATATTTGTGTTGGATTGCTTGCGTGCGTGCGAGCATGCATACGAGAATTTTACCTCCGCTAATGATATGCATTTCGAATTAACTATTTAAGTACACCATTTTTCTTGAATTTCGGATGTTAGATCCGGCTTCAGCCTTGAGCCTCATCTTAACACTTGACTCGAATAACAACACCCACACAACCCGCACACATTGAGACATCATTTCGCCAAGCAACTGTGTAAAAAGAGTATATCATAACCATATTACTATCCCGTTATAATGAGTATTTTTCGCAGGAAAATGCGTAATTAATTCTCATCATTTGATCAATGATTCATCAACGTTCAGCTTGTCTGACTAAAGCCTTGACTCGTTCAAAATGGCAATGAAATCCTCAGAAATCCTACACTTGTTCTATATGGAAATCGGAGATCTTTCGAACTTACTGTTTACGAAAGCAGATACTTTCATTGGAAGACAAACATCTTAATGGGTTCCATAAAGTGAATGAAATCATCGCGAATTAAAACAAAAATCCACGAAAATTGTGCGAAAATGTATTCAATGGATGAAGTGAATTTTCTTATTCTGAGAAGAAATTTCTTCTACGACCAACTATTTCATGCAAAACAGAAATGTCGATTGGATTTTCCGTGAATTTCCATTATGTTGTTGAAATTCTCTTCACAATCTTCAGCTCTTGGGACACCTTCAAATTAAGCTGTATTTGAATATAGTACACAAATTATAGCTACTACATGTTGAAATTTAGCGTGGGATAACAATAACATCGAAATGATTTTTTATCTACAGCTTTAAATTTAATATCAGCACTAGCATTAGCTTTTACTTTTACAAAGCGACGAGTGAGTTTTTGGCTGGGCGTCTCCATTATACAGCGAGGCTGAATATAGTAAAATATTTCAAAGCGCCATCTAAACGTTCGACAAATTGCCTTGGATCAATTCAAAACAATAATCATGAACTTGACGTACATTTGTTGTTCGTTTTTTTTTGCGTGACAACCTTCAATTAAAAAGTTCAACGAATAATTGTCGGGTTGCTTCAATTACAGTTAGGCATATATATTTGCTCCGTAGATTTGTATTATTTTATTTGCATGCGATTTGGATTTTCGTACGAATAAATTTCGTTTGAAACAGAACTATTCGAAATGCACGACATCGAAATGCACTGGCCGATTGTAATCGATTGATCTTAAATGCACTGTGCATGTACTCGATCGACAATTCTTGATGTATTTTTCCTTCAGTTTCTTTTTTCTACCTTTCCATTGTTTCAACTTTGTTTTTTTGTTTGCACCGGTAATTCATGACTAATACGTCAATCGTGGTGAGTCATGGTAATTTGACGTCAACAGCTGACAGTGAATACTTTCACCAGACACACAGCGTCTGTGTAACAGCGTACACATATTTTGCCAAATGATAAGAATAAGCACAACAACTTCGACAAAAAAATATCATCTATATTTGACAGTTGTATTGACTCATCGAATTTAACCCATTCACTTCCGCTGGTCGAAAAACTGATCGGTGGATTTTGCTATTTTCATCATGCGCTTTTATCTCTTATCGATTCGCAGAAAAATTCCGGTTTTTTATACTTTTTGGCTCACAAGGAAGAAGAATTTGAGAAAAAATTTAACCACCAGTGGTCGAAAAATCGACCAATATATTTTCATCAGTTTCAAAAATCTGCGATGCATATCTGCGGTAAATTCTTTTTACGAGTTCCCAAAGTTTCATACATTTTGTAAACGGCTGCAACTGTGGTAGAGCAAGTGAAATAAAACAAGACTCATTTAGTTTGGGATGTAGACTGTAAATATGTGTCCATTTTAGACAGATTTTAGCAACGCAATCGGAAACCCGACGGTTAATAGATAAAACGAAACCACAGCATTCATAGGCGGCATTTAATAAACAATGCTTCGCAATAACCTCTTAAATCGGACCATTTTCATCATGACTAATTTAATGATTCAACGAACTTTTATCTCTGTTTATTTGTGCTTTAGACATTTCATTGGATTAGTGCTGATCTAGTTTTAATTTGGATTAAAATAAAGATAAAGTGAATTTGAATCATGCACCATTATTATCGCTATCATCGGCAAAAGATTCTCAAGCAAAAATCCAAGTAGATTAAATTGCTTTCTTGGCGCGTATAAAAGTAGATTTTTGCTACTTGAATGCTTAAGCATTACTAATTAGTATTTATATAAAAATTTAAAGCGGTAAGTGAGCGCCAAAACTACATGAAGTAGAATAGTGACTTGAAGTGAATTTGGATTAATTTCACTTGACATTTTACTTCTTCTTCAAAAATATAAACATTACTTGGTAAGCGTCTAAGTGGCAATTTTTTCTACTTGAAATTTTTCTTGGGTACTTGTAAATAGATAACACTATCGCAATTCAATTGTGTGCATTTTTGAGTTGTTTATTTCAATTTGGCTGCATGTGACAATACAGTAACAAATCAATCTATAAATGCAGTAAATCATTTGATTCTCAATGATGTTTTTTGACGATTCGTCAATGACGAAGAGGTGAAGTGGTCACCGAGAAATACTTTTAATGATTATCATTTTGTTTGAATGTTTACCAGGGGGGTAATGTACATGGCATCCCAAGAGAAACGGCCAATATGTTTATACGCTGTCTATCCGCCGAAAATACACTACAATGTATATTCACGCTTATTGGACGCCGAATTGAATATATATTTAGTGTATATTCGGTGTATTCTTCAGCGTGAATCATATTGAATCAACGAATGCATTCATCTGGTGGCCTGAATTTGTTTCAATATGTTTAACGCCGAAGAATACGCCGAATATAGAATAGAATATATATTGAATTCGGCGTTCAATAAGCGTGAATATATATTGTAGTGTATTTTCGGCGGATAGACAACGTATGAGCATATTGGCCCTTTCTCTTGGAATGGGTAATCCAATATAAGAACATTCAACGGTTGAATTACTTTCCACGGCCAAAATCAATTTTTATATTTATTCATTCAATCAATTAAAATAACGAACTGAATTGATAAAGAATGCTCATGAATTATAATTTATGAGTCGCTCGATACGTCTTCCATGAAATAATATTATGGGCGCCTCATAAGAATGATAATTGAAAAGGATTCACATTCTATTGGTGATCAGACCCAAGTTCTTTTGTTTGTACTTCTGTTGTTGCAATTGACATGAGCTCGTAGTATGGCAGTGCCTTCTACCATCACATTTCATTCGTCACCGTAATGTACTTGTGTGCTTATTTTGAAAGTACACAATTCATCTTCGTTTCGTTGGCTCGAATGTATGAAGCGATTACATCATCACAATAATTAGAATTGAAAATGTGTACGAGGTACACATGCAAAGTTGTTTAGGTTATTGTGTTGTGAAAAGTGGATGTAAAAACAGTCAATTGACTGTTCGGTGTGTTGAATATCCAACACATACAAATCGTAATGTGACATTTTAGCTATGAGGAAAAATACATCGAAGTACATTTACAAATGGTATTTTTTTTTGGTCAAATTTTTGGTGTCTTTGTTAAGAATGCTCACCGTACGCAACGTACCATATGAATACTCGAACAGATTACGCATCTTTCTTATCCGTACGCACCTCTATGTGACTTCTTCATTCATGCGTTCAACTCACATACACACAAACACATGTACATGTGTTGAAATCACATTCGGATGGTATTTATGTATGTGCTAACTCCGCTCAGACCATTGCCGCCACTTACACCAACTTTCCGCAAAACCGTATGTATGTGTTTGCACAAACTGTGTTCGTATCAACAATATCAACAACCCCAGTGCATCTACGTTCAATAGACCAATTTCAGTTAGGCACATACCGTCGAATAGTTCGCTACAGACCGGACCTACGATTTATTTCCATATATTCAATTCCTGTTTCAATTAAAATTTCAATCAAGTGAATTAACATGGCGTATCCACAAATCCCAACTGCAGTCAACGTTATCACCGGTAAGTTAAGCGTGTGAGTGTAATATTTTGACTAAAATTGTGGTAAAAATTTAAAACAAACACCTAGAATGGCCTTGTCGTAGCAAAACAAAGACACATTCATTCACAAAATGGCCTCTGGTGCTCTGGAGTGTAGCTGATAGTTGGAACAAAGGAAGTGAATCGCCTTAATGATCAAATAAATCCATTTTCAACGATAAACTAAAAATTTATTTACTTAACTCGAAGAAAAAAAAATCAAGTTTAGGTTATTTCAAAAATGCTTAGGTACATTGTGTTACAAACAACGATCTTGACCATGGGAAATATACGATTTTTTTGACGCGTGATATATGATAAACTGTTTTTTTTATCAGATTCAAATAGCTGGAAATCACTTTCAAACGAAAAAAACCTATTGTTTTTCTTCAAGTTTCTCACCGAGAGAAACCGTATTATCCAATATAATTTCTACGAAAAGCAATGCAAAACGAAAAAAGTGTTAACAGACGAGTCCCATTTTGAATCATATGAAGTATCGTTGGTTTAAACCAGTGCTGTCCAAACCATGGAGATTGCCAATGGCCAATTTTTTTTTTTTTAAAGAAAACAATATAACAAATACCATTTAAAATTCGTTTATTTCCAATCATCAATGGTATGTATGGCATTTTTAATTTTCTGGTGCTATGTCATTGAGTATTAAGAAAACTAGAATCAGATCAAGAACGTCTCTATCACTCGTTTCATTTGGCAAACCAATTTCTTCATTCATCAACGAAATATCAAATTCTAAGTGAGTCTTCTTTGTACCGAAGAGATAGCGTTAAAAATAATACATTGTTATACAAACAAGATTCGAAAATCATGATTCATCGAGAGCATAATCATATTTTTATCAAATATTTATTTTTTTTAAACATAACGTAGCGATGAAAATTCAATGAACAGTCTACTCATTTTATTGTCATTTTCACTGTGGAATTCCAGGAATCCACAATGTTGCACTTTTTGCCGCTTTCGTCTTACAAATCAAGAATTTTAAACGGAATGTACTTCGTCACTAATTTTATTCGCGTGGCCACGAGTGGCCAAGTGGTCAATAGTTTGGACAGCACTGGCTCTCAACCGTTGACTGCTGTGAACACTGTACAAATTTAGCCATTACTTGCGAAGGGCTTGCGACGCCTAAAATTATTTGAAATATTTGACATATTTGAAAATATTTGAAAATATTTCAAATATTTGGAATATTTGAATGTATTTTAAACAGGCGTCGCAAGCCCTTCGATTACTTGTTAGCAACTTTGTATTTGATGGAAAAAGACAAAAGAGCATTTTGCATGTGTTAAATATGAATAGAAGAAGTTGATTAGCAACTTGTTGAATTGTATCGAGAATTAATATGAAGGAATGTAAATCACACTTAAAATTCATTGTGGGCGAATCAATTTAATTTCAATGGACTAGTTTCATTGCTCGTATTAATATTGTTAATGTGTTTAAACCTATCAACTTTATTTGATATTTGCTAATATGCATATGTGTATGAGTATACTCAGGTAATATACCAGGAAATATGATATATAAATATAGATAAAATAATACAAATTGACTCGACAAATGAAATTCTAGTGGGCAAGGTGCAAGCAAACAGTTGATAAAAACAAATGCCCAGAAAAAAACATGAAGAGCGATAACATTTATTACATTTGAATGTTCAACACTGAAATTGTATTCTATATTTGTGTATCAATCGGAGCAGCCGAAGAAATAAATTTGTAAAAGTAAATTCATGTAATATCTTATCGCTTTAAATGTGATATAGAAAGAATTGAATGATCGAAAATGAAAAACGTTCACCTTATTTGTCGCATATCAAAGCGGAACATGAGTCGCTATTATTGCTCGGTTGAAAGGAATTCGCATACTATACAGAAGAATTCGTAACAAAATGCTTTGTGGCTAAAATGATGAACGGTTTTTATCAAAAAGTATTCGGAATGTTTTGCTCTTGTCATTTTAAAAACGCTGTAATGTCTTTTCTTCTGCATATATTCTAATCCACGTTTTTCTATTTATTCCTACTTGTATTTGTGGTGTGCTGTCGACAATTTGAAATCGATCGATGTAAGTACTATTATCAACAAACTGTAGCTTCAGTTGAAATAAGAATAGTTGAACAGTTCAAGTTCATGAAATCAGTGCCCTGTCTAATACTGGTATTAGAATCTAGTGCTACAAGGTTGGATTATCAGAAGAAGCAGGATTATCAGTATATTTGCATGTTGTTGTCAAACGTTTGCTTTCAATAAAGTCCGTACATTAGATAAGCTTTACCAAAACTTGACTAGAAATAGATTTTATGCTTTGGTCGCAATAAATATCATATGAGCCAAGCTTTTGATTTTGTTTCCTCACTTTTTGTCGATGAGCTAATGCGGATTCATTTGTTTAATTTTTCGATTTGCTTTTTCCAGCTGTTCCCGCAGTCGGACCGGAGTCATCGCGAGTCACTTGCCCAAGTTGTTACGCTAGTGTTCAGACCAAGGTGGAAAACGAATCAACCACTCGTACACACATCGTGGCTCTACTGCTCTGTGTATTTCTGTACGTTACAACCACACATTAGTTCAATACATTTTAATTAAATGGACAGTTTTTTTTAACACATTTTTTTTTTGGTTTCCTTCGGTTTAATAGGTGCTGGCCTTGCGTGTGCGTTCCCTACTGCATGGATTCATGCAAGAATCGTAATCATTATTGTCCTAATTGCAACGCATACATTGGAACGTACAAACAATAAGCGGTAGTGGCGGCCATTGCGGCGGTGGACAACAACACTTAACTGCAAATTCATTTCATTCATATATAAAAATAAATCGTTCATCTTCACTTGCACTGGTTGTTTGATAAATTGTAATAAACACATTCAAACTTGAAAAACAATTTTATTATGCTTCTTTTTTTTTTTAAATCTGTAACTTGATTGTTTTTTGCCTGAGTTTGATTGCCATTTTATGATTAAATTTTCATTTAAATTCAAAACTCATTCTTCGGTCGCATCTTTTTTGTCGCTTTTTATTTTTGAATTGACGTCGAATGAATAGCAAATACGTGAAATGAAATTGAAATCAAAATTTCATCGTAAATTTTGAAGCAACGAACTAATTTTCAATCAATCATGCCCACTGGATACAATGTTATCGTGTTGGTTTCTCTTTCGATTCCACAAACAACTTTGTATTTGTGCACTTGAAACTTGGCTCAAGGCCAATTGACCGCAGAACAAACAGAACATATGCATGATGGAAAAATAAACGCAGTTTTTTCTAACCATAGTAAGCTAACAAAAATTGATAGATTTTTATTTTTCGTTCAAACCAAGTTTGAACTAAATTTCGCGAAATTGAATGTAAAACGGAAAATATATCATATTCGATGTATCCAAATATACCAACCAATGGCATACCTCCAAAGCACCATCAAAATCCACCACCGTGGAAAAATGATGTTCATTCCGGAGGAAATATGGTGGTGAACGGGAATCTAAGGGAATGGAATTCACATACACAAACAAGGCAACCGTATCCAGCTTCTGGACAATCACCGCAAAATCCTTTCATTCAAAATCAAGTGAATTATGTCAAGTATCCCGTTGCGCTTGGTCCAGAATCAACAAAAGTCATTTGTCCATCATGTGATCGAAAAGTTGAAACGAATTTGAAATATAAAGCTAACAAACAGACGCATTTGAATGCCATTCTGATGGGAATGTTTTTATTTTTCATCTGCGGTTGCTGTATCCCGTACTGCGTTGATACCTGTCAAAATGCCGACCACTACTGTCCCAATTGTGATGCTTACATCGGAAGTTATACATAATAGTTTTCCGTTATTAATTTCCATACAGTTTCAGAACTGTAAACAATTCAGTTGTGGGCCATTATTTTGCTGCAATGCCTCACGGGTAGCCTCATAAGTGAACTGATTAAAAACTTTAAATAAATGAAATAATTGTGAAATAAAGAAACGAGTACAATTTTACCTAAAAATTTGTGAGTGATAAGAATGGGCATTTTCTTTGCTAGTCAATTAATTTATTCGGAGCAAAATCTTGTTGAGATTTATTTATTTGCTTTTATTGTGTTTGAATTCTGGAATGTTTCAAAATCAAAATAAATATCCAGAAATAGAATGTTATCAACAACACTGTTCAGCCGGATAAGTGATAAAATGAACACGTCAAATATTCCAAATCGACATTTGTCTTATTTTTTCTTAACTTCTTTTTTTGTTGTGAGATGGGAAAATTCTGTATTCAAAATGATCGAATAGTTAATGCTTGATCTAAGGACGAAACCATCACAGAGCTAAATCCAACGGTCTATTTCCAATAAATAAATATCAAAAGGAAAAGTGCAGTCTACCTGCACATTTAGTTCTTCATTTGCTTTGGATTTTCCACAATTTTTTAGACTATAAATGACTGAAAAGTATACAGAAAGATTTTGCATCTATCGGTGAACTTTAGTTGAATTTCTTCATTTTTTTCATCCACAGAATCAATCGAATTAGATTCAAGATCATCACAGATTTGTCCAAGTTAACTTACAATATATTTCAGCGTTTAAGTTAAAACCATTATAGTTTCAATCAAAAATCGCAAAGTTTGTACGTAATTTCTTCAATAAAGTAAATCCACCTGTGGAACGTAAATTGTGAAGTGAAATTCAATTTTCCAAAAATTAAATAATTTTTAACAACATTTTGCTGTTAATTTATAATCTCATTTTTATTTAGCCTGTATAGGTAAGTTAATTGCATGTGCGAAAGAGTTTTCAATAAATTCCATTTATTGTGATAAAATTTTGAAAAAATATTCCACTTCAAGCAAACAGTCTTCTTCGAGATCAGTACAATGGACGGCATTTTTTATCGGACTCACACCGAACATTGCACGTAATGTTTTCGGTCGGATTTCACGAGCAATTTCCTTGAAATTTTTTGTTGAAAAAAAGAAATCATTCATTTAAATTATAACAGGAGAATAATTTTACATGGTAGAAAAATAGTTAATTTTACCGGATCAAATGGGCCGCATAGCTGTCGAAATGGTTGATATGGCGATTCATTTGAGTTGGAACATCCGATTTCAAGGGCAATGAACGGTCCACTGGATAATTCGGTCACCATTTGCTGCATAACATATGAAACAAGTTTCGGGAATCGTTCTTCGGTTGAATATTGCTTGATCCTTACCAAATAATCGGGAGACACACCATTGTACACCTCATAGAATTCCTCACAGTTTTGACGACACAAATTGAACATTTTCATCGCTTTGATCACGAAACCGCAGTTTTTTATGTGCAATAGAATGTCACCACATTTTCCCTCGAGAACGGCATGCGGCTTTATCAGGCACAATGTGGAATTTTCAAATGATTTGCACAAATTTGATTTGATAACACCTGATGAAGTGGAAAAGAAAAAGTCACACACCTGCAAATAAATTGCAAGTTTTAATTACATTTTTGAAAACGGAATAAAAATGTTGTTTGACTTTTCTTTATTTACTTTGGAGATGTCATCGGAATTATTTGGGTAAAATACTGCATCAGTCATTGCACCGCTTCCATAACGAAGATCAGCTGCACTTTCATCACTTATTAATCGTTCGGGACCTTTGGATTATTTTTTTAGAAAGCAAATTAATACATGTTCCCTGTGCTTATTCTTCTCATTGAACAAAAATATGCGTCAACTCGTAGAAACAACTCATCAATTCGAATAAGAAAAAAACTGATTCACCTGCAACCAATTGTTTTAAGCGATGAAATGCATTACATCCGGTCACTACAAATGCAATCGAAGGGCCCGAGCACCAAATATCGTTGATGCCAAAACCCAGTATATCAGTCAGTTCATTGCTTTGCTGTCGCGATAATTCAAACATAGCACAGTTGATGATCGAAAACTCATTATCGCAGAGAATTTTGAAAATTTCGCTCAATTTTAACATGTATTTGGTGGGGATTAATCCGAATGCTCTAAAATTTAAAAGAAAATGTAAAACATTAGTATCCTCTTGGTTATTTGCTTTTGATACTGAGGTATCATTTGGTTTGGCTCACTTTTGTCGTTGACTTGTCAATTTTTTGCGTGTGTATTCGTCTTCGTATTTTGTGATGACGACCTGTCGGCCGAACACATTCAATTTAGCTCCGATGTAAAGGTTCCTCTCATCAATATCTGGCACACAGACTCGCTTAAGAAATATTTTATTCTTTTGTCGGTCAAACTGAAAGACATCGTCGATTCGATTAAAGGTGTGATTTATCTTCATTGGGTCGAGAGAAAAAAATGTAATTTTACCATTTCAACGGTTTTATCGTATGGAAAATAATTGAGAATGAATAGCCGCGCTAGGCCCGCTTCTACTTGGAACCATTCAACCGTAAAACACAAACGTTCATACACAAAACTTTGTCCCTGCAAATTGAAATAACATGAACGACAATTCTGTTTGTTTTGGGTAATTCCAAAAATCTTACCATCATTTTCGATAATTGCAATGGTTTTCTCTTTGTGAGGCGAACTTTTTTCCTTTCTCGTTGTATCGATTTGATTTAATTTTCAGTTTAATTAGTTTTATTTTCGTGTGGCATACTAGATCGTTTGTATCAACAGTCAAAAAATAAACAACATTTGGCTTGAAATTGCTTAGCAACTGTCACATGTCATGACCAATTTTTCCTCATTGCCAGTAGATGGCGTTGTAGTTGCTTGATACTCTCGTGCAACTCTTTTTCAACTCAAATTTAATGTGTTCAATGAGTTTTTCCGTGGCGATTAAATACAAAATTGCCTGATTTTAAACATTTGGATACTTTTGACTCTATGTGTCTGTTGAGAGCATTCAGCGGTAAAAATTTAGAATACGTGCTTTAGTGATAGTGGGTTGCATTTGAAAAATATGAAATCTTCCGAATTTCAGTTTTGCGTTAAACGAATAACGAAAATTCTTATTTCATTTAACCAACTCGACTCATTATGCATACAATTCGTTGGACACAACCAATTGAATACATTCTTTGAATTTATATCCCGCAATAAAAATTTTAATTCAACTTTGATTTGGATGAAATCACTGCTTATGATGTATTTCGTTTGGCGATGTACAATTAATACACATGGAATTCTCTCCGCACGCAAATAGCTAATCCTTGATTCTGAAGCTGCTTCAGTGAAGCAATAAAACGTTTAAAGCAAATCAAATTTTCGTTCTGAAATCAGCTTAAATAACGGTAGTTTCGAAATGATTCATCGTATAGATCTGTTAAACATTTAAGAGGGTCAACATATAGCTGAATGATTAGAATCGTTTCTACCTAATTACTTAATTGTCGTTGAAAAGTGAATTAAAATCGAACAAATGCCAAAATTTTAGTTTTTTGTTCTCCAAATGGTTCCAAATATATGTTTGGGAATTAGAGAATTTAGCTATAGTAGCCATTTCAAGAATATTGAATCTTACTTCAGTCGAAATACTTCAGTCGTATTATAAAACGGAAGCGATAGTCGCGTTCTCCAAATTTAAATTAATAGTTAGAAATCAAAAGTGTAAAATCGAAAAGTTGAAAAAAGACAACTGAAATGGGTCAGAAATCAGAGTTTGAATATCGTCTTAGCAACTTGATTCGACCAACCAATCATCGAACAGCTCCACCGACTGTACAACGAGCAAAAGAAGTCAAAAGCGTCAAATTATATCCCGTTCGAAACGAACATTATTACTGTTCCAATTGTGGAGCCAATACTGCTAGTATCAAAAATAGGTGACGATAACTTTTCTGCAGAAAAAAACAAATATCTATTCAAGCTAGTATAACTGCTTATTTCCACACTTACACAGAATGTAGCAAGCGTAGTTAATTGAAGTTGTCAGTTTAGAAGAAGATCCGTGTGGACTTTTCGTTGAAGTCAGTAAAATTTTTAGTTAGAAGAAAGTAAAATGCAGTCTCCGTACATGTTTGGGCCAGGTAAAAATGTGAGTTTTTTTCAGTCTCGACCAAATACATTCAAACCATTTTCTTTATATTCCATGAAAAAAAATATCCAGATCCAACTGCGGTACAATGCCCAGCGTGTGGACATAGAGTTCTGACGAGAATCGTTTATAGAGCAAATATAATGACTCACTTGATCGCAGTTCTTTGCTGTTTTTTAACTGGTTTCCTATGCTGCTTATTACCATATTGCATTGACTCGTGTAAAGAGGCACAACATTATTGTCCCGCTTGCGGAGGTACTATACCTTATAAATCGCATATATCAGTTAAAATGCTATGATTTTTAAATCATTTTTAATACTTTTTTAGCATACCTTGGAACCTATTCGAGGTGGGTATAATTTTTTTTTACTAATTATCGAAAGAGAATTTTCTTTGGAAAAGTTGAAAATTAAGATGAAAACATTCCCTTATTTGTTGAAACTAATTTTATATTTTCCTATTTTCATCAATACAGTCATAACATATGTTTCTTTTCTAACTCCACAGATAATTGTATCTGGCCATAAAAATTCAAAATACAAAAAGAATAAGAAATCCACGAGGAAAAATATTTCATGGAGATAAAGAGGATGCAGCAGTTCTTACATAAACAAGCAAATCAATTGCAGAAATTATGTAATAATGTTCGATAGTTTTGGAACCACTTGCTGGATGGAAAAAATACCGAAGGTCGACATGTTGGAATTTATAGAAATGGAGCAACTCTAGCATTTTCGAGCATATCTGTTGGTTTAAGCAGAAAATTTTCCGTAGTCTAAATGTTGAAACAAATATTTATCGATCTGAGCCAAAGAGTGTTTCTCATTGAGAAACGAAATAATGAATGAAAATTAAATGCGACTCTTGCCTCAAAAAATCCCATATAAATTGTATTTTTTTTGCTGGCTTCGTTACTGCATGAACAGTTGCAAAGCAGCGCCTAACTATTTACCCTTTCGTAAATTAGAAAATGTGGAATTTGAGCCAATACTGCTACATATTATCAAAAATAGGTGACGATAACTTTTTTGCAGAAAAACAAATACATGTATCTATTCAAGCTAATATAACTGCTTATTTCCACACTTACACAGAATGTAGCGAGCGTAGTTAATTTAAGTTGTCAGTTTAGAAGAAAATCCGTGTGGACTTTCTATTGAAGTCAGTAAAATTTTTAGTTAAAAGAAAGTAAAATGCAGTTTTCCTACATGTTTGGGCCAGGTAAAAATGTGAGTTTATTCAGTCACAACAAAATACGTTCAAACAATTTGCTTCCTTTTTTCCTGCATTCTTTGTGGATAATCATCCAGATCCGGCTGCGATACAATGCCCAGCATGTGGACGTACAGTTCTGACAAAAGTTGTTTATAGACCGAATATGATGACTCATTCAGTTGCAGTTCTTCTCTGTATTTTCTTCGGTTGTTTATGCATGTTCATACCGTATTGCTGTGACTCGTGTCAAGAGGCACAACATTATTGTCCTGCTTGCGTAGGTACTACACCTTATCGGTTGATAAAATGATTAAACACTATGATTTTTAAGTAATTATCATGATAATTTACATTATTTTTTATACTTTTTAGCATACCTTGGCTCCTATTCGAGGTGATCATGACTTTTTTCTATGGAAAGATACAAATTATCGAAGAAAATTGAAAATTAAGACAAAATCGTTTTCTAATTCGTTGGAATATATTTTCAAACCACATGAAAGTATCACCATATTATCCAAAAAGAAATTTCAGTGAATTTTCCTGAATAGACGATAGAAGGCATGGGGCATAATGGAGCTCTCAATCGTTATATTGATTGTCAAACAAATTGCAAGTTGTTAAGATGTTAAGATTAAGATAAGCTGCAAAATGTAAAGATTCGCATTGTGGCGAAGATACCGAGTGAGAATAGAGAGATTAGAGCGGGCATTAGGATTTGATCCAATGTATACTACTACCAGAAAAAAGAGGATCATTTCCCGAAAAAATGAGATGACCATCATGTCTATGGGTGAGATTGAGAGTAGTGTATGTTTGATTGACTTTGTTACGAAAGAGAAGAGCAAGTTTCTGTCGACTTAAAAATGGTTAAAAGCGAGTATGTTCGTTTTTAGCGGGTCCTCGCGGTTTTCCACGGTTCCCGCGGAACTGATAAGAGAAAACAACTTGGTGTCTTCGGCAAAGTTGTAGCACTCGAGGTCTTCTATAACATCGCTGAAGACAGTTATCTCTTATCTCTTATCAGTTCCGCGAAAAGCGCGAAAAATGATAAGAAAAAAAAAGTTCTATATAAAATTTGCTTTTTTATGTGCGCGATTTGCGCGCAACTGATAAGAGATAAGAGATAACTGTCTTCAGCTTAGTCATAGAAGACCTCAAGTACTACAACTTTGTCGAAGACACCATGTTGTTATCTTTTATCAGTTGCGCGAAAACCATGAAGACCGCGGAGGCTAGACGGTACTACAACATACTCTACTTTAACGCCAACAGAATCATCAGAAAACATACTCGCCTTTTCAAAAATATAAATCGAAGAAAAAACATACTCCACTCTCAATCTTACCCATAGATGTAGTCAGTGGATAACTACAAGGATTACATATCAGCCTCACATAATTACTCATTTATTTGCTGTCTCATTGTGTTCTTTTTGTTGTTGTTGTTGCATTCCCTATCTAATAAAATCGTGTAAAGAAACAGTGCACTGTTGTCCCGATTGCGGTGAGATGCATTCTTATTGTATCCATCGTGCTGCGTTTTATATTTTATATTTTTTTTCTCATTTTGTAAAAGTACATATTTTTGCTCTTATAACAGGTGATTCAAATGCAATAAACTTGATTCAAACATTGAAAATATAATGATTATTTTTATTTTATTGAAATATTCAGTTTCTACGTTTAACATCTTGAGGAGAATGTAACAAATCGCGTTTCAATTAATTAGTCATCAATTTGAATGTTCATCAAGTACTATGTCGGAAAGAATGGCAAATTCTTTTTTATCGTAAAGTATACAATTTTCGCATTTTTTTCAATCGATATCAACAAACGTAGTAAATCTTGAATCGAACGATTATTTTGTGTGACAGTTAGTTCAGCGTAAATTTCGTAATCTAGTGCCATCAGAATGTCAAAGTTAGCAGCAAAATTTCGGGTCAAAAGAAAATGTGTCTATGACAAAGGCTACAAGGACTACAAAGACCAAAATGACCATGAAGACCACAATGAGCACAATGACCACAAAAACCACAAGGACAACAAAGACGAAAAGAACCAAAAAGACCATAAGGAATTAGTATCATTTGGACCAACCGCTCAGTTTATCACTTGTCCATCGTGTGGAGAGAAAATTTTGACTAATCTCCAACCTAATTATACATCGAAAACGCATAAAATAGCCTCTGTTTTGTGTTTGGTGTAAGATTTTAGACCGCATTTCGTTTTAAACTTTTCAAATTAACATTCTTTTTATTTATTTGCATTTCCAGTGGTTATTGCTATCTTCCGTATGCTCTGAGTGAATGCTTTGAAACAGTACATCATTGTCCTGAATGCGGTGAGATTCATTTTCTTCGTGTCGCGTTGCATTTCGTATTTGAGTAGAAATGGAAATTCAGTCAGTTTTAATTACACGGTCTTTTTTTTCAGGTGCCTATATTGGCTCGTACAATGCGGAAACATAAAACTTTTATTTTAATATTTCTAATGATCGATGGTCAGAGAGAATTGTTCAAAATTTTTAAGTGAAAATTGTATATGAAATGAAAATTTAAAAAAAAAATGCATTTACGTTTTCATTTCTTTCATTTGACTACAGGTGAGCGGAGTAAGAGAGTATAATTCATACTCCTACTCCCATACAAACGGAAAATGAGTATGTCTCGACATACTCTCATACTCATAGATACTCTTTGAGTATGAGAGTATATACTCAGAGTATATACTCTTTGATTTTGCGAGCGGCTTCAAAACAGCTTGTAATACGAGTAAAAATTGCACATAATGAGTGTGAGCATAAGTTTTCGGCGCTCGATTATTTTCCATATAGGCCAATTCAATTGAATATAATATTATTAAATATTTACACATGGAAATATCTCAAAAATGGCTGGGTAAATCGGCAAAATGGAGCGTGGTGTCACTCCCGAAGGGAGTGTTAACACCCGGCTGGTTTAATGGCCTAGAATACAAATCCGGTGGAATTTCAGCTGATCTATGGATTCTCAGGATTTGACCTGATTCTAACACTTCAGTTTCTTTGCGTTGTGGTAAAATTCCATACAAAACATAGGGAATATGACTTTACAGATGCACATAAAAAAGGAAGCACTGGAACCTGGTCAAATCCTGAGAATCCATTGATCAGCTGAAATTTCGCCGGATTTGTATTCTAGGCCATCAAACCAGCCGGGTGTTAACACTCCCTTCGGGAGTGACACCACGGTCCATTTTGCCGATTTACCCAGCCGTTTTTGAGATATTTCCATGTGTAAATATTTAATAATATTATATTCAATTGAATTGGCCTATATGGAAAATAATCGAGCGCCGAAAACTTATGCTCACACTCATGATGTGCAATTTTTACTCGTATTACAAGCTGTTTTGAAGCCGCTCGCAAAATCAAAGAGTATATACTCTGAGTATATACTCTCATACTCAAAGAGTATCTATGAGTAAGAGAGTATGTCGAGACATACTCATTTTTGAAATGAGTGAGTATGAGAGTATATACTCGTGAATTGGCCCACCTGTACATTTGACCACTTCAAGTGGTTCAATGTCATTCATTCATATTCCATGGGCCATTAAAGTATATCTCTCTTCGGAGATGTCACCGAAATAATCTGAAAAAAAAGCTGTGAGCCAATTTCTTCATAAATTACACAAATTTAGCTGTTTTTTTCGAAACATGTGTGATAATAGTATCTGAAATGCCATTTGATCAATGTAAACAATCGATTTTCACAGAAAAAAAAGAATTCAATTATAATCGAATCTTTCTAGTAGAACAAATGATAAGAGCGATAATGAGTCGTGTGATTTATTTGACAATGCATTGCAAGTAGTCGTCGTGATGCAGCCAAAAATTAACAAACAACAACGACATTGAATTTGGTGCACACAAATCCAAAAAGGAATTCAAGATGGAAAACAACTCTAGAAAGCCTGTGTACCCTTGCCTACCTCCACCGTATGCAGAATATCAAACTTGTTCTCGTTCACAGATTAGTGTCACCGCTAGCTCTGGACTTCCACAACTTCCACCTCCATACTCAGAAATTGGATCGAGCATTGTAGTTCAACCGACACGGCGGCTTCATGCAGAGGTGCCTTTTGATGCAAGGCCACCCGGTAAAAATGAGAGTTTATTCAGTAACAAAGACATTTATTTAAACCGTTTTCTATTTTTTTTTCATCATTTTTGATTAAAAATTATGTTAAATGTGAAAATAGTCACTATCGTAACAATTTTGCTGTTTGAAAAATGAAATTTCCCAGATACAAACCAATATAGTCCATCTCTTGGATATGATCCATTTCCAACTGTTTGCCCGACGTGCCATCAAAATATTGAAACAAAAATTCGATACGAACCAAATTCACTGACGCATTTGGTCGCATTCATCATATGCTGTATGGGGTAGGCTGAATTTGGAATAAAAAGCAGTTTGAATCCATTTCAAGGCATTTCAAATGAAAAATAAATTTCAATTTCTAGCGGATTCTGCTGTATGTTCGTACCCTATTGCTTACATTCCTGCCAAGATTTAAAACACTATTGCCCAAATTGCGGCGAATTTATCGGCACAGTTGCGATGTGAGCGCTTGATATTATTTTAATAATCATCCCAGACTGAACCGAATTTACTTGAATTTTTACTGATTGTAGGCAAAAATTTCCTAATGAAAATAAATTTGCTATGAACTAGACCTTTTGTGTTTGAATTGAATTGAGATTATTATCGGTAAGAAAAATTACTTTAAGTTGACATACGAATACCTTCTTTTTAAAAATCTTTTTAAATATTGACTAACTAGTAAGTTGTGTCAAAGTACGTGATTGCATGATAGGTAAGTCTGTACAACAAAGAACGTTTCCACCAAGTATGGGAAATTTCGATTGATTTCGTCGATAGTCGATTAATTTGGGACATTTTCACTGACCAAAAGTGATTGTCGCGAACAAAATAAACGACTGTAGTTAACTCTAATCACAAATCACTGTTGTTCAAAAAGTCCCAAATTAATCGATTGACTGAAAGAATGACTAAACGTGATTATCTCCATACAAAATGGATTTTAATCAACTTGACCAGTTCTAGTTGAGTACCACTACATCAGCGCTGTCCAACCTGTGGCCACTTGGCCATTTGTGGCCAACGCGAAAATTTAAGTGGCCAACGCGAAGATTCTGATAATTTTTCTATTATATTTCTAGTTTTTTCAGTAAATGATTTGATCTTTTGACCAACTTATTTTTTTCAAACGAATTTTTGATTTGCAAGACGAAAACAGCAGAAAGAGCAATATTGCAGCAATAAAAATAAAATAAGTAACTGTATGTTTCAGGGGATTTTTTGTCGCAACGTTATTTCTTTCAAATATAAACATTTGATAAAGTCGTGATTCATAGCGGTATGCTTCTTATATATATTTGTTCCGGTTAAATTAGCAGCTCTCGATTAATAATGTGCAGTCTAGTTTACACAGCATTGATACGGCGTGCGTTTTCGCTTGTTTATGTTTACATTTGCTGGCGGTTGATTTTCGTAATGTATTTCATAAAACAGAAAATGAATCGTATCATTATCGAGAATATGACGTATCGATATCGTGAATATATGTAGTGACTACATACAACTAAGTGACCGTAAGTTACTGTTAGTCATTTTATTTGCACACGGGCAACCATCGTAAGTATGCTCAACAGTTGTTGAACGTTGATTATTTTCGAGATTGCGCCTTTATATGATAACGCTCCAACTTATTTGTATTATTCAAAACTTCTGATTTATGAAATTTTCCTCCATTACACATATGTATATGGTTTCGAATACTTTGCTTGAGATAATGCGAAAACAAGCGAAACTGAATCTATACGTTGATCATCAAACAGTTTCAGATGACATGATTCATTCACAGAATTGAATTAAATCATAACTCGTTGTATCTAAACGAGTGACACTTGTCATATACGAATAAAAGTGTTTTATGACTCAGAAATTCTGAGTGACTTACATAATTTGTCTGAGTTCAGTAAAAGTTCAAATTATTTGGCTTTTGAACGAAATTGGCAAGAAAATGATAAGAAATGTGATGATACGGAAGATGAATCAATGTAGTTATGTAATGTTACTCAGCTTCAAATGAGCATTTTTCAAAATGATGGGAAATAACGAATACAACCATAAAAACGGAAATAAAATTTGCTTCAAAATACCAGGATATGGTGTCGCAATTTTTTTTTTCCGCCAGCGTATAAATTGTTCACACCTTACCTCAATATTTCTACATTTTTATGGTAAAATAGACTAACATTGTTTTACCGTTATCAATATTGATATGAAATCAAAAATGTCTATCTGAAAGCCGAAATTCAAATGAAGAAAAGTCAATTACGAAAATATTGACGCATGATTAGCCACAAAATGTGTAGTCCACATTAAAAAATTGCCAAAAATATTTGTGTTTTGCTTAACATGCTGATTCGTTTCTTTTGTCAACGTCGATAACAGCAGTTGAGTCAGTTGAATTTGGTCGAAATTTGATTAAGAAAATAAAAATATATGTATATTGTATATACATCATGTAGAAAAAACATTCGAAGCAACGAGGTTCTTAAAACTGTGTGGAATGGCTCATAAAGTAGCATTTATAATGTGCCTGTTCGGGCGAAAATATTTTTCAAATTAATTATTTTTCATATTCAACCTACCAACTTATTTTCTTTTTCAAAGATATTGGGGCTGTTACTGCTTCACATACTGTTTGGAAGATAGTCACGATGTCAAACATTCTTGATCTGAGTGTGGATTTTCCTCGAAACTTGCGTCAATTGAACATTCGACCGTTTATTTCCCGTTTCATTTAACGGAGCAATGTTATTTTAAATTGTAATCTATATGATTCGAGGCATTTCTTGTACAAAGCAAATCATCGATTCGACTTTAGCATCATATTTCACATAAAACAAAGCGAACCGTAAATATCAAGAAACCTAATGCCATAAAAATCCATAAGCATAATAAATGTGTTTGCCGCTGAATGTTCCATCTAAAATGCTTTAACGCGAACAATGCATGGTTTTGTGCTCTTTCACAAAGATCTTAATATGTAGCAACCGATCTGAGTCATTCGTTGGGTTGTCTATGCAAATGTGAGTGTATTGATGCCTGTATCATCGATGGTGCGGCAACAACACATAAACAAAGTGTTGAAGTCCTTGTAGCTTCTCGTTCATACAGTTAAAGTCTCTGTTTCTCTCTTTCTCATCGCACACAGAGCCATGCGTTCATGGTCTGCTACGGTCTTTTGTGCTGTTCGATATGTTCGTTCAAAAGAGAACCAGCTTAGTTGCGTTAGTTTGAAATTCGTTAGCATTGGGTATTGACGAATCCAGTCGTAGGAGAAGAAATTCAAGAAAAAGTGCGTAGAAACGAGTATTTTATTCAATCATCGGAATGTAAATTCAAATCGCTTCAAATCGAAAACAAAAAACCAAATTGCGCTTCCGAAAATTTGTTGAATTGATTATTACCATCAATTTTCAAATAAATAACGAAAGAAGAACTAGTTTAGCACGTGTTTATATCGTTTCATGCTAGGGGGTAGACACGAAATAACGCTAGAAGAAAACTAGCAAAAATCGAGCATACTAGAAGTTACTAGAAGAATATTTGTGAAAAAAAAATTGAGTGATCTCTCTTCCATCAGAATAGCATTGGCAGTGGTTTTTATATGAACAAATTCTTCCATTCAAAATATACTGCCAATGCTTTGCTTATGGAGTTCAAATGTTTTGTTTACAAAAAGTACCGTTAATTCTTCCATAAGAAATGCATTGGAAATACTATACTTATGGAAGAATGAATGGTAGATACTAGAAATACTAGCAGAATATTTGAGTTTCTGCTTGTATACTAGAAAAACTAGAAGAAACTAAACGCATATTTGAACTGATTTGAACAAACTAGCTATGCTAGAAATTGGTGTCTAACCCCTAGGTTTCGTGTAAATTAAACAAACCCATATAGTTGCTTTGTGGAGATTCACACATCGCCGCCGACTGTGTGCGAAGTGTACAATACGGAATTAGCAAGAGCAGTACGGCACTATGTATATATTTGCAATCCAACACACACAGTAATATGTATAATAGTAACTAAACGTAGAAGCGTTGAGAGACAGAAAACGCAGCACTCAAATCGTTGTACCGTAGCTGCCGTGCGTACGTGTGTGTGTGTGTGTGTGTTTTGTCTCTCTACGCTTCTATGTTTAGCTCGTAGTATACGTATCGCGACATGTGTTGCACCGAAAGCACTTCATAGTGCTCTCGCTAATGCTGAACCGTACGTTTCGTTCATTGTAGAGTATAAATCTCCGCACAGCAAGTGTATGAGAATTCAAGAATAGTTTTGTGTGCCATTGTACGATTTTGGGTGTTTCGTTTGAAGAAAAATTACCTCACAAATCCAAAGTGTTCCATTTTTGAACAAAAACAAAGGCGATGATAGTTCATTCTGTGCTGAAGAAGTGAAGCAAACAAGTTTTTTTTTCATAATTCAGCTGAAATGGAATCGAAAGAAATGGAATCGAAAGGATGGAACAACCCATCGGCAAGTGCACCGTCTTACGACGAAGCAATGAACTGTTCAGCGGTGCCACCGAATCAAATGCAAGTGTACCCAAACATGCCGCAACCATATTCAATGCCACAACATCATTATCAGCCTATGACACAGCCGCAAATGATGCCACCGGTACAGGCTCCAGCGCCGCCAGTTGTTCAACAAAGTAAGTCACGAATCATTTGAAAATAAACTGAACATTTTTCTAATGGAATTTCTTTTTGATACACAGCTGTTACCGTTGCTGGACAATTTCCGACGTGTCGTAAATGCAAAAAAATATTGCAAACTCGCTCTGAATACACATCCACTTGCGGTACTCACTGTGCATTTCTATTGTGTTGCCTTTTTATGTAAGTACCAACGACACAAAAAAGTTGATCGCAAAACAAATGTGAACATTTCATTTGGATAGTGTTTTCTAATTCGACATATTTTTGGTGTATTTTTTTTTTCTTCTGCGATTAGATGTTGGCCGTGTGCTCCATTTGTGTACTGTACAGATATGTTCCGTACGAAGAAATTCAGATGCGTCAACTGTGGCAAATCAGTCTGATGAAATAAAACGTCAAGAGGCCTTTTTTGGTCCGAAGCGATCAAGCCTTTCCTGTTTATTTTTTATACAATTTCAATGATTTCTTTATTTTTTTTTTTGAACTAGGATGTATTTTAATGACTCCTGAATTTTGATAAATCACTTTATATGAGCTTTAGAACAGTTCATCGTAATCCCACTAATTTTAAGGTTTTTTTTGACATTTATTTTCATTTTGTTTAACATTTTGATTATTGTTTCAAACACGAAAAATTATTTCAGTTCCTCGGGGAAGCATATTCAACCCAAATTTTGTCATTTTATTTCTCTCGATGTTTTGTGAAACAAATGATGAATTCCTAATGTTAAACAAAAGACGTTTTTCTCATTATTGTATGGGTCAATCAAATTTTGTACGAAAAAATCGATAAAATAGATAATGTGCCGCCATAGATAGATAATATGCCAAGTTTAAGTACTCCAAAACACTCAAGATTAGATGATGTTTTCTATATAAATTAATTCGAATTAAAAAGACATCAATGAATAGTTGTAGTTGGTTTTTTTTTTATTTTTCACCTTTTGTTCTTCTTGATTACAGGTCTTGAATAAACATCAACTTTCAGTTAAAGGTTGAACAAAAAACCAACCAGCAAATAACGTATATGTGTTTACGTATACACATATATGAGTAAAAACAGCAATTTTTTAATCAATTTTTTGATAGATTAATCAACAATCGATGACAGAAACAGCTCAATCTAAATCAGTTTTGTTCGTTCAATCGAAATAGAGACAGCTAAAATTTCAATATACGTCTTACCCATTTACTCTTTGTATTGCTGCTTTTATTGTTATCATACTCACTCAACGACAAGAAACTTGTATTTGAAACAATATACTTCAAACAATAGCAAGTGCTGCAATCGAAATCATTGGCCTATTTGCAAATAAATGGAAGTGCAACAGTGAAACGTATACGTACGCGTAAGTACGCATATAGATTTGTGAATAAATTGTCATTAATCCAACCGATTTGTTCAGTGTGTATTTATATCGTCTGTTTTCGCTTATCAGCTGAGCAAGAATACACTTCCATTAGGTAATATGAATGCTAGACGATAACAAAAATGCGACGTAGGTCTACTTTGTAATGAACGTGTAAACACAATAAACGAATACACACAAATTGAATTAGCATGGTATCCACGATTGCAAAGGTAACACGATATACGTATTATTTTGGCGAAATAAAATTGACACATCGATTGTGGAAATTTCGACGAAATTAAACTCGAACACAATTTGCTAATGAGACAAGTGTTCCACATTTACACATTGACAGTTACACAATTCATTTGACGATTAATCGGATAACAGTTATTTGTTCTAGTGATAAGAGTCATAGTCATTGCTTCCAATGTGAATTGAAGTTAGTCATTGTAGTTCATTTGTAGCAATCACACGAAAGAGTATAGTCATTTGAAGGTTTAAACAATGCATCACGGTACTAAAGTTCCTGAACATCCATCAGAAGGATATCCACATCCACATCCACCACCGCAGTACACGCCAAATGTACCGCCCCAATATACATCGAATCCAATCCCATTGCACCCGTCCGTCATTACACAACAGCCAGGTATTTCAAGATTCACCACTTTCAATTTTACAATTTTTTTTTTTAGCCCAAAAACTAATTCGATTCGATTTTTCATTCTGTTTGGCATTCAAAGTTCAAGTTGTGCACATACAAACAATTCCAGCTGTTGGACCGCAGCCAACAATGGTCGTTTGCATGAACTGTCACAAAAATGTGATGACGCGACTGGAATATGAGGCATCTACTCGAACGCATATTATCGCACTAACCTGTTGCTTATTTGGGTGTGTCATTGTTTTATTTTTGTTGAAATTAAATCCGATTTTCTTCTAATATCTTCTTTATTATTGACGCAAATACTTTGTTTTTTTTTATACCCCATTTCAGTTTGATTCCATGTGCAATTTTACCGTATTTCATAGACTCGTGTCAGAATGGAAACCACTACTGTCCAGGGTGCGGAGCATATATAGGCACCTATACCAGATAAAAAATCAAGCAAACATGTACTTGTTTTTCTCGTGATACGTGCACATTCTACCAAAACAACGCAATAATTTACTCGTGACAATCATTTTGGTCTTGTTTATTTGCTAAAAAAAAAGAAGAGAGATAAAACAACATGCATTTTCCGAGACTGATGTCGTACGAAATTTAAAAAAAAAAATTAATTGATACCATTAGAGCGAGGCTTCTTGCATGAGCTTTATTGAAATTATCGATAGATTGTTGTTTTTTTATTCTTGAAAGAAAGTTAGAAATTTACACCGGTTGGCTGCAAGTCAAACGTGAGATTTTATTGAATTCATTGGCCGTGTAATTGAGCTTGAGTCAACCAAAATTGCTGTAATTATCATTAGTTTTAATTTATTTTTTGTTGTTGTTTGAAATGGTTTTCATTTGTGTGAGACAAATAAATGGGGATTTTTGTTGGAAATGCAATTGTCATGTCCGATGATGATTCATAGCATAAACTAGTACAGAAAAAGCAATAACCAAATGTTTGAAAGTGTAATATTCGATGAGTAGAATAATGAATTGTTGTTTAATAAATACTCTGCACATTTCTTTCAAATCATGTCAATAGTTTACATTATTCTTCTGAATTCTTATCTTATTAAATGTAATTTAAACTGAATATGCCTTGACTTGGCTTTGCTTGGCTTGAGTAAAAACTAAACAAACCATGTGATGATTAAACCGATCTATCTCTCTCTCTATGAAAATATATATTTGAGACAACAGCCATTCGGCACGATATTGGAACGAAACTGAGCTACTCTCGACGATTTTTCTTTCAGTTTGCTTTCTTAATGTTCTACTCATGTGAATGCAGAGACAAAGAAAAACAGTAAATGGACAAAAAGGGCAATGCACAATGTACATTCTTAATTGTTTTTTTTTTCGAATTTACATTGAATCTTTTAGCAGTGGATTTTTGTAGAAAACATAAGTGACATTCATCATTGGAGTATCCACTTTGTTATTTTATCCGATTCAATGATCCAAGTACGTAAGCATACCATATGATTCGTGCAATATTCTAACAGAGCCACTTCAGTTTCATTGCGGATGACGAAAAATATGAACAATTCCATGCCTTTGTTACGAAAATAAACAAAAAGGATTGTTGTGCTCGTCGATTTTGAAACCGGCAGTTGCTTCACATGGCCGTATAAAATGGAATTTTATGCTTGAGTTGCACAATTTTTCGAGAGTAAGTGTATTTCTGGCTTGAGAAGAATTTTCATAAACGTCCACGTTTTTGTATCTAGTTTCAACAAAGAACATTTTTGCTTTCAAGCAAGACTTGTTGGACTATGGACTGCAAGACTAATTTCTCCAAGTAACATTTTCTGAATCAACTCAATTAGTCTAATTGAAATATTTTCAGCATTTAAAACATCAGTTTGTGTCATGTCTGTGTCAAATATCAAAAATTCAATTATTTGGTTATCACTATCTTTGCTCTGTGTTCATTGTCATTGACCGGCATCAAGAGTGTGATTCAGTTTGACACTTCGCATGTTCTATCTCTGTATTTGTGAGCATGAAGCAGTGTAAAATGAACGTCGTGATGTCCGCATAAAATTTCGATTCGCCATTTGCAGTCATCGACATCAGTTCTATTTGTACCGCTATTTATATCGCATCATTTCTGCCGCGCAAACTTAAGAACAAGTGTCAAAATGCAATCCACGTTGAATATTTTGTGGCAAAAAGCGAAAAAGTCGGATTTATACAAAGATATTTTCACAATTCGACCATTGGCTGATTATAATCTTGAGCCGCTTATTGATCAAATGTTTGTGTCGGAGAAATCGGCGAAAAACCAGAAAAACAATTTTGCTGCTTTGTTACTACGTGAAAAGGGTAAAATTTACTTCACAATGGGTAAATATATGGAAGCAATGAACACATTCAACAATGCCTTAAAACATGCTGAAAATGGATCCGACGAAGTGGCATTTGCATATGCAAACCGTTCAGCGTGTTTTCTCCATTTGAATATGCCAGAAGAGTGTTTGTTCGATATCAAGTTGGCAAAGAAGTCAAAGTACCCGGCACACTTGATGCACAAATTGGATGCTCGAGCATCGAAATGCACCGCATTGTTGATCGACGAACAGTTCAAAGACAGTCGTTTCACTCCGATGACACCAAAGTTAAGTTTTGACGAGCATAAAGAATTTGCCGGTGTTTAGCCGCTGATTAGAATGAGGAAGTGTTATTGTCAAGAAATTTGACTATGCAATATTTTTTTTTTCGTTCGAATATTTTTAATAGACGAAATCCAATACAAACCATTCGTAATTAGCTAGTGCTAGATTGAAGGGGGAAAAACACAACAAAAGACGTAGCAACCACTTTTGAGAGCATCAATTGAAAAGTGATAAATATTCAAACATTCCAATGCTCGATGCGAATCGCTTCACGCAATCTTATCCACATGAAGTGCATCAAGTGCGAACATTCAATTCAAATGCTACTAGCGAATAATGAGAGCTAATTTCTTCAGATGATATCGACTGTGTCGCAACGGGACAGAACAAATGATCGAATTTGAAAATAGCTATGAACAGAGAAAAAAATTGTCAGCATCGATCGAATATAAATGGAAATGCAGTTAAAGCGGCATTCTCACACGTCGATCGTCTCTAAGCCGAGACATACTAGCCCATTTGGAAAAAGTTTAGAGAATTTCGATTGCTGACTTTGCCAATAAGAGAAAACACAATAAAGAACCAAAATCAATCATGTTCATTTTGAGCAAAATCTTCGGTAAGTGATGAAAATTGTGTGGAGTCCAGTGGACTTCACAGTGTATATCTTTTTTTCGAATTGTGTAACGTTTTACATTTATTGCAGTTTTGTGCGTGGTTTTTGCTGTTGTGCGGGCCCAAGATGGTTGATGTGACCCAAAACTTTGTCCACCCAATAAACAGCCACATGTTGCATGCGCTGATCCGGTATTTTTCACCATTTCTTTCGCTGAATAACGAATTCGAAGAAGAAAAAGTGTTGATTTCTTTGAATCGTAATAAAATCATTAACACAATGTGCATTTATTTCACCGAATAAATTTGCAGGCATGGGGTCCAAAGTGCAAGTCAGCTCAACAGATTAATATGACACCTGGGTTACAAAAACTTATCTTGGACGAAATGAATAGATTGAGAAATCAACAAGCGATGGGAAAAACGCCCGGCTATCCACCAGCCAAACGCATGGCAACGATGACATGGGACAATACATTGGCTGGACTGGCCGGTTACAATACGTTGCAATGCGATATGGTTCACGATTTATGCCGTAGCACTCCAGATTTCTATTTGGCCGGCCAAAATTTGGCTGTATCCGGAGACAAAAGCAATGAAGAACTTGCTAAGTGGGTCCCTGGATATTGGTTCAGTGAATAGTGAAAAGTGCCGACGTGAGCGATATAAAAAAGAATACCAGACTTAAAGGTTCCGATGGGTACGTTTGTAATTTTTTCACGCAAAACTCATAAATAATTTACTGATTTTCTTCTCTAAAAAAAACAGAGAATGGATTAGACACTTCACGCAAGTGGTCAGGGATTAAGCGTACAAAGTGGGCTGCGGCATGAGCAAATACACTTTGAATGGACAACGGAAGGCTTTGATTGCTTGTAACTTTGCCGTTGCCAATACGGACAACTATCCAATTTACGAAGATGGTCCAACTGCATCTGGATGCAAAACCGGAACCAATCCAAAATATCCAGGTAAACAAATTTGAATTTTCATACAATTTTTCAAGAGCTAAAATTATTTTATATTTTCAATCGCAGGATTGTGCAGCGTAAACGAAAAATACGAGGGAATGTTCTTCAAAAACCCCAATTATTAATAAATTGTCCGCATTCCACACATTGTATTCAATTTTTAATATTTTTTACATTTATTTTTTGGCTTCAAACTATCCCAAAAAAAATTGTATGAGGAAAATTCGTCTTTGTTAACAAATAAAATTCACGAGCAATTCAATTCAAATAGCCTTTTATAAATTTTTTTTGATATGTTCAATCATTGGATTATGACTTCACATTTTGATTGATGCCGGTTCATGAGTTATAGAATAAGCAAAAAGGTAAGTAGGTGACAACAATAGCTTGAAACATTCATTTTCCTATAAAAATGAAAAAAAAAGTATTTCAAATCCGCACCGATTGCGATCGAAATATTTTATCATTCTAACGCCTGTTTGAATCATCTAACGATCCAGCGAATACATAGTTCTTCATAGCCGTTATAGCTTCGATTCAGCTACTTCTGAATAGAGAAAAAATACTTTAGCAAAAAATGCAGCTCACCAAAAAAAATAGCAACGAAAATTGCATTTAGCTTTATTTAACACCATTTTTCTGGGGAAGTCTTTCGTAGAAAAGTATTTCAGATGGAGTGTTGCATTCAATTTACATTTTTTTCAACGCTGCATCCGAATAATGAGCTCATTATCTTAGCTGGATGTATCTATACTGACTACGTCAAAAAGAGACAGAACAAATGATCGAAAATTGAATAACAGAACAAATTGGTATATAAATGGAAATGTAGTCGAAGCTTCACTTGTATACGTCGATCGTCCATAGGCTGCACCACTATAGTCATTGAAGCAAGTTCAATGAATTTCGTTTGCTGACTATGCCAATAGAAATTTTTCAAAAGAAAAGTTTCAATCATGTTCTTCTGAAGCAATATCTTGAGTAAATGGTGAAAATAGTGTAAAATTATTTGTGTTCAAATTGGATTTGTTTTTTTTTTTCATGAGTGGTTGTCGCTGCTGTCAGATCCCAGAATGGCTGGTACGATTCAAAAAATTGGCCACCTTTGCTCACTCACATGTTGGATACGCTGATGTATGGCAACAATGACCTCGGACGATGTATTGACTGGGATAGCTGGTTACAGCACCATATAATGTGATATGGATCACGGTGCATGTCTTGACTTCTGGGATTTCCATCCTATAAATGGGGTGGATCGCTATGGAGAAAGACTTTTTCGAATTTATTTTAATTGGAACAAATAGTATACCAGGATACTTTTCATCAAATAAACTAAACAAGTCAAGCAATTCAAAATTTGTGGTGTTACATGTATATTTTCAGTTAAACGATTAACATCAATTGTTCTTAAAATGGATTTCGTACAGAAAACGTGTTTAACTACTTAATCATGTTTTGTTCATTCATTAGGGAAAAATAATCCAGCAGCCGAATTGTCGCTCGATGTATTTTCATTAACTTCAAAATAAATAAAGTGAAACGATAGATTCGAGACGAATTCACGTTCGAGACTTGAACATTCGTCACAATTCTGTGTGAAAATTGACTATCTTTAGATATCTTTAGTATCACAATTGAACACGCGATGTGAAAACTTCGTGAATAAATTCAAGAAATGGGTGTTACATTGAATAAGGTTTAATTTTAAAGCTGGATCCGCTGTGAATTTGTATTGAACTTTTTTTTCCATATTTTTCTTACTGACTATCTTTGTCACTGTTGCATTGTTTCGCTCGCATTCCCGCTACGGTCAATTTGTATGAGATGACTTCTGACAGCACGAACGCTACAGTCTCTCTTCTTGAATAAATTCATAAAATTTAAATTGAAAAATAAAATGTAAATGATTATAAATTTCCTATGAATAAAATGTTAAATTGTTTTAATAAACAAAGTCTATGGAAAATAAAAACAACGATAAAAAAAATTGCAGTTTTCTTTCTAATTATGCACAATAGGAAATTGTTTCGTAGAAATTCAATAGATCAGATAATGCACAAAGTGTATGGTTGCAAACGTTCGAATTAAATTCTAAATTGCATCTGAATAATGAGCTAATTACTTTTGATGAATAACTATTTGATCAAGATTTGAATGGAAGAAACAGCAGAATCATAAACAAAAAATATCCGCATCACTGGCGAATATAAATAGCGAGCAGCGCTTTAACACGTAATTCAGTTGCAGTTAATTCGATAAACCTATCAGTTCTGAGCAACTAATCGCACGACTATCGGAAAAAGTTCAGAGAATTTTTTTTTAATGAATTGCTGACTTTGCCATACATTTTGATATCATGTTGTGCTTAAGGAAATTCATTAGTAAGTTGTGATTTACAGTGACAATTCGCATGTGTGTGGAGAAAGAAAGTTTTGATATTCAAACGTATCATTTTCGATCTATTACAGTTGTGTGCTTAGCCGCTGCCACTGTCAAAGCCGACGATTCATACTGTGACCCATCGATTTGTCCACAAGGTGCACAGCCTCATGTCGCTTGCGGAACCGATCTCGTATGTTGATACACATGCATTTTGTCGCAAAAGTAGTGTTTGAAAAAGTGATGTAAATTCAAATAAGCATCAATTTTTGATCTGAAAGAAAAAACACATGGAAAAATGTGATTCTAATTAAAAGCAGTGTCAAAATTATTCAAAGCGTTTTTTTCCCTTCAAATAAATAAGACAATTAAAATGAATCAATTGATTTTTCTTAAAATAGGCGTTTGATTCACGTTGTTCCGACGATGCTGAGTTCGTTGAAATTACACCTGAGCTGCAGCAGTTGTTTCTCGATGCACACAACAAATTGAGACATCAACAAGCCAATGGAGAGACACCCGGATATGAGCCAGCTAAAAAAATGGCCACTATGGTAACTAAACGTTGAATTAAATGAGCATGGTGTAGTGTAAATGTGTAATTCATCCAAACCTGAACTGTATTCTATTCCACTAGAAATGGGACGATGAATTGGCCACGCTTGCAATGTACAATACAAAACAATGTCGAATGAATCACGATGTATGTAGAAGCACACAAAAATTCCAATATTCGGGGCAAAATTTGGCGCTGCATGGTGACACAAACAATGAATTCCTTGCCAACTGGGCACCGGGCTACTGGTTCCAAGAATATCCACGGGCTAATATGAATGATATCCGTAAACAAGGCCGTTTGCGTGATTCGAATGGGTAAGACAATGTTCGATTTAAATTCTCTATTAGCATTTTTAAATCAATGATTCAAATTTGAGATAGCAAAGAAGGAGAAAAATGAAAAAATATTTACTCACCTCATTTGTTCGCATTACAGAAAAGATTTGGGCCATTTCACGCAAGTCGTAAAGGATAATGCATACACAGTGGGCTGTAGTATCGCAAAATATACCGATCAAAACGGCGCACGCAAAGCGTTGGTCGCATGCAACTATGCCGTGGCCAATATTGACGATTGGCCGATTTATGACGATGGTCCAACCGCATCTGATTGCCAAAGTGGTACGAATCCCAAATACCCCGCACTTTGCAGCGAGGATGAAGTCTACGATGGACCATTCTTCCGAACATAAATTTATTACGTTTCAATTGATCTATTTTTTATGACGAATTTTCGATCAATTATTTTATTACGCCCCAAAAATGTGCATTGGAAATTTTTTTTCGGAATAAAATCACACAAGCAAAGCAACGTTCAATTGGTTTTAATCACTAAATCGGCCATTCCACACGAAATCAGGGAAGAGTTGTAATGTGGGGTGGCCGAATTGGATGAAAATTGGCTTGGAGTATTGTTTTCGATAGAAAATGAGAAAACCAAAATAATAGGGTTGAAAGTGGCCCACATTTCTGAATTCACCCAGTGTAAATTTTGCAAAAAATTGAAAAAATCGAAAAAAAAGGTTTGCGCCAACTTAAATCTAACTGTGAAGTAGTTGATACATTGCCAAACCGCTGGTACCGTTGGAAACGCTGAATTAAGACAAAAATGGTAAGCAAAATGATATATTTTCATTTGTTTCGCTGGAAAATAAAAGCCATTCACGATTGAATGCAGAATGGGGAATTTTTGAAGCAAATTGCATTTCAATTTGGATCAATTTGCATTTCTTTTTTGCTTTATTTTGTTCTATTGAAAACGTCACTTTTCGAGTTTTTTCCATGATTACTCGAATGTATGGGCGTTAGTGGTAATGTTAGTGGCAATATCGGTGACTTTTTTTGATAAAAACCCAATTCGTTCACACGAGATATTGCTGGGAATTGGCTGATAGTCGTGTTTCAACGTCATAAAACTTCAATTAAATTTCCAGAACGGTTTTTTTTGCTCTGACAAATATATTCCTTGTCTGTTTAAACCTATTTCAACGCTAATGACGTCAAAAGTAAACGAAGGAGTGGGTAGATTTCTCAATGAAACTGGAACATTTTGGGAAAGAAGTTTAACGATCTATAACTTTTGTTTAGAGAAAATAGTTTTTAGTTTTCTTCCGATGAAAATTCCGTTATTTTTCATCCACATTACGGTTATTGTTTGTTAATAAAATAGTTTTGCCGAAAGTCGAATTATGACCCGAAAAACGAACATTGTTGTTGGGAAGACGAGAATGGAATACAATTGTGAGCTTATCGGTTCAATTTAAAATGATCATAAATTTGTTTTCCATTGATTGGCTTTGGCTTTGGCTTTTATTGGCAATACGAATTTTGTTTCGTTGATGTGTCACAGCCTGTGACTCACAGCTGTAGATCAAAAAAAATTCGATCGCATATCGCTGACACAATGATAAAATAGATTTCATTTCTAGTGTTGAATTTGTAAAAAAAACTTAGTGTCGAGTAATAATTGGAGCGAAACGAGTAAAAATGATTTTCGTTCTGTTTTTTCTAGCTTTTGTGACCATCAATTTGGGTAATATTACAGAATAAACATAAAGATATTCATGAAAAATAAACCGTTTTCCCATTTCAGTGAATGCCAAGGAGCAAGTTGCGTTGGAAAAATATTCTCCTCGTATTGTAGGTGGAAAAGCGACAACAGTCGAACGATTTCCATGGCAATTGAGCATTCGAAACAATGGAAATCATCGATGCGGTGCATCGATTATCTCAGAAAATCGCGCTTTGAGCGCAGCACATTGCTATCGACCATATTCCGATAAGATGCATGAACTCACAGTACTGGCTGGATCTACATCGCGTTTTGGCGACGGTGGCAGTTTTATTATTGGCCTAGATAAATATATTCAACATCCAAATTATGACAACGCAACACTGGCAAATGGTATGACTGCATATATATTTAGTGAAATAAAGTCCCGCATCATGTAAAATTATTCAAACTTTTAAAATAATATTCAACATGTGATTTGTTAACTCGCAGATATCGCCGTACTGTGGCTGCAACGCAAATTGGTTTTTAGCTTAAAAATTCGCCCAGTTAATGTAAGTAGTGCCAATTGAGCTCAGTGAAATTTGATCACATTTTATTGTGACCTATGTTACAGATACCGAAGCAAAACGCGCCGCTTGTTTATGGGTCAACGGCTTTGGTATCAGGCTGGGGTTATCGTCGACAGAACCAACCGTCGAGTGTAGCCGATATACTTCAGTACACATCAATTACCGTATTGCCAAGTATAGTCTGTTCGAATGCATACGACAAGTGGTTTAAAGAAAGTATGTTCTGTAGTGGCGTCGTTGGGGGCGGTAGAGATGCTTGTCAAGGTGAACAATCAAATTCGTTTTTTTCTTTCAACTCGATGAATATTTAAAAAAAAAATCTCCGTTTTCATTTCTTTCATTTGAAGGTGACTCCGGTGGTCCTCTCACAACGAATGGCCTTCAAATCGGCATTATATCTTGGGGTATTATATTTTAATAATTATTAATTAAGTTAATTAACAAAAAAATTCCCTGGAATCATTCTGATTTCTTTTCAAACTGAGACCAAATTCTTTTCTCTCCATTTTTAGGCACTGGTTGTGGTGATCCGAAATTCCCAGGAGTTTACACAAACATTGCACTGTTTCGTAAATGGATTGATAGTGTTCTATAAAGTGTTTCTGTAATAAAAACTGAATGAAATTCCAAACGAACAAACATGTTTATCGCACCAAGTAATTTATCCTATTTCAATGGTATCTTATCTGTTTGAAACGAATCGAAATTTTGATGATTTGATAATTGCGCACTTATTGAGTAATGAGATCATAATCGTTCGTGTTTTATGTACTATTCCAACCAAACTTGAGTCTTTTTTGTGTAGTAGAAACAAATTCAGAATGCAACGCACATTTTTTGCCATTTTATTGATTTAGCTTCATTCGGTTTCGATAAAGTTTAAATGGATGAATTGGCTATGTATCGAATTGAAAGAATAGCCTTCAAATGGCAACTTTGTTTCTTCCCAGTAATTGCTCGAGAAAAATCTTTTTTTTTCTTTCTAAGTTGAAAATTTTCTTCTCGAAAACGTTTCTCCGTTCTTTTTCTTCCAACATCCAACCTTTTGCAGTCCAAAAAATTATTCCTTTACAGTTTACCTTGATGGTGGTGCAATCGAAATCCAAACGGTGGCATTTAAATTTGCGTTTGGCCAAGCATTATATTTGTGATGCAAGTTGTTAACTCCAAATTGTGCACTTACTTTGGCTCATTGTTTCCAACGGAACATCACATTGGATCTTTAACAATACCGTAACGGCCGGTTTAAGCTTGCAATCAGCTGCAAAAAGTTGTTGGAAATTCTATCATTGGCATGGTTATCCACGATAAATATAATTCCACTTTGAATGGTAGTCATTTCGATATAACGGTGCTGCTTCTGAAGAATCATTTCAAGTATGGATCAACGATTCAACCGATTAAATTACCTGTGCAAGATGCACCAATCGAATATAGATTAATTGCAAATATTTCCGGCTAGGGTATGAGCAATGCACTAGATCCAACGCTGTCCATGGTGATTCGCTTGACAAATCTGACTACCGTAACAAATGACCAATGCAAAATGTTCTACAGTGGAATAGTCGAAATTCACTTGGTGTTTGTGGCGGTGATAAAGGCAACCCGCCGATACAGAACGCCACACAAATCGGTATTGCATCATTTTCACTTGGCTGTGCTCATCCAATATTCCCTGTAGTTATCATTCGTGTGGCGTATTTTTCTGATTGGATCGAAGCACTTTTGTAACAAATCAGCTTTGAATGAACTTTCGAAAGTTTTTTCATCTGTTGCTCAATTTGTTGCTCAATTTTGAATAAAGCTTTTCGCCAGATGGCACACCATTCGGTATTTCGTTATGTTTCAGATACGATTCTATTGTGGTCACCTGTACGCATTTTTTTTCCGGGTAGGTGCATACTTTTTTCGCAGGTGTACACTTGAATGAAAGTACCAATACAACACACTATAAAAACAACTCACGACTGAAACATTGTTCATAATCTTTTCGCGAATAAAAAAACAGCAACGAGAAAAAAAACTGCACATGAATTACGATGCCATAACTTTTTCACGGTTACCTCGTCGATGAGTACATCGATCGTTTTTTTTTGTTTGGGAACATTTTCTTCTTGATGATAAAATATTTCGATTTTTGAAGATCGCATTCTTACTTTGGAATGAGTGTTATGGGGAGAATATGGGTCTCAAACTACGATTTATACAGCATTTTTTAGATTTTCGTCATTCTTGCGCAAATTTCAGTACGAATTCAGATAAATAGTGATCTGATTTTTGTTAAATTTCGTACAAAAAATGCATTTAGATTTAAATATTTCGTCCGAAAATTCCTTCAAATTGCTTTTATCTGTAGCAAAACAGGCAAATTGGTGGCAAACAATGTTTGCTCTTGTTGTTGTTATTAGTGAAAAAGACGTTCGTTCGAATGTGGCATTCGAGCTGGTTTGTTCGTTGTATTTATTGTGACTGTCTAAACAAATTCGTTCACGCTTCTTGGTTTTCATTTGAGGCAGCGTTTGTCGTCTGCAATTATGTGTTCGGTGTCAATGCATTTGCCTATCAACGCCGCCAACTCACGTATATTAATCAAAACAACGAGAAGAGAGCATAGAATGCGACAAAGCGCCTCTCCTGCTTGCCTCCGCTCCGCTCCGTTCGTTCGGCTCAATTTTCAGCCGAGAAAATGAAATCATTGAAAATGGTGTGATGGAAGAATGTGTGCATATCTTTAAAGGTAGATCATGCGGCTCATTCTGAAGCGTATCAGGTGATAGAAGTGGCGTCAAGCATCCAAAACTTCTAGCCACAATCATGTGATTGAACAATCGAGTATGTGTGTGTGTGAGAGAGAGAAGAGGTAAATGAAGCGATGCACTTTTCGTTCGGTTATGTGCAAATAAACGATCAAAGTCCAGTGTTTGGTGCGCAAGTTGACAAAAGATCGAGAGACAGAGAGAGAGAGTGTGTTCTTGTTCTTTTGTGTAACAACAACTTACTTCAGAGTCGGATACTCAGCCAGCGAAAGATGAAATGTGTAATTTATGCAGAAAGAAAAAGAATATCAAGATAAATTGCGGCTACGAAACTCGGCAAGAGACGGAGGTGGATGACGACAACAACGATGAAGAGCAAGAAAAAACGAGAAAAAGAACGATAGACGGCTCATTTTGAAAACACAGAAAATGGAATGAATATTCGCAAGAAACAGAAACAACAAGATGCAATTCTGTTTAGTCGTCACCTAACAACATATCGCATAACAATCATGCGTGCACTTGTGACAAATGCGCGGGAGAGGGAATCTCGGAATACACATTGCGACGACGACGACGACGACGAAGACAGCGATGAGATATCGCAGCGGAACGCACGGAGACGGCAAGATCATCGAGTCGTGGGTGCGCAATTCTTTTTGCATATATTTTTATACAGACGACACAAAATTATGATGATGCACTGTTGAATCACATGAAAATATATGCGTCTGTTGCACGAGAGAGATAAAGAGAGTCTGACGAAAAATGATATTAAAATATGGTTTGTGATTTTGCATGCACAACAACACACATACGGCGATTGCCGGTTTCGATCTTTTTCTTTTTCCCTCTTTGACGTTTTTTTTCTTCTTTCTCTCGTTGTTCTGTTCTGTCTCTAGATCGTTTTTTTTCTGTGCCCATTCGAGCGAAGTGCACCGAGTGAGAGATGTATGTTTGATGCACTTGCATTGCTTTAATTTTTCTCCTTTTTTTCTGTTTCGCGTGGTTCAGACGATGCGACAAGTTACTATTATTCCGTGTCTCTTTTTTTGCATCGCTTTATTCTTCCTTGTTTTATTTCATTTGGCTGGTTGGGATTCAGCTCGTTCGTTGTTTTTACTTATTATGTTTTGTTGTTGTTGTTGTTGTTGTTGTTGTTGTTATTGTTGTTGTGAGTGTGTCGTTGTCGCCTCCGTCCACAATGTTGTTTTGTGCTTTTTCATTCTTGTTGTTAAATGCAACAACGATTTCTTGCTGTGGCGAGGTTAGTGTTTTCTTCTTTCTTTTTTTTCCTGCATTGAAATTTGATTTAGATTTTATACGATGCGCGAGGGTGTTGCAAGACCGCTCTCGTTCATGAAATGCATATTTAAGTGTAAGACGATCGCGCGCAAAACACCATTTCTTGTTACCTTGTCTCTCATTTCTCGGGCACATTGATTTTTCACTTCCTCAAAAATTAGTGATTCGCATACTCTCGCTACAAAGCTACACAACACATTTGTCACATGGATTTATTTTAAATTGTGTTCAAATATCGCGCGACAATATTCAAGAGACAAATGTTGTAAATAATTTTGTGAAAATGCGCACATTTTCGAACTGGAACTGTACGGATAGCTGAAACTGTTTTTGTAAATTATACGAATTGAGATCATGAACAGACGATTACACTAAACAGAAGTGCACACATTAGATGGCTGAGAGACAAATGTGCACCGATCAAGCCATGTTACGCATTGTGCGATACAGAAAAAAAGGCAGGCATAAATTCATTCGTTGTTGGCGGCGCAAATGTTGAAACAAAACGAAATTCGAAAGATTTTTTCACTTTTCCGTGAATCAGTGGGATTCGAATGAAAAACGCACCTCAAATGAAATGAGTGATTTTGAAGAACGTTGAATTTGATGCGATTTCGACAATACAACATTTACATCATTTGTCTTTTTTTTTGGGAAGAGTTACATTATTTTCATTCATTTTTCTAATCTACCCAAATTGCAAAAAATAAAACACTCGATAGCTTTTAGATGGCAAGTGAAATGAACAGAGAGAATTGAAGAAGAGATACTTTTCTGGATCGACGTATCGACATTAAATTAATACGTTTACAGTATTATTATCAGTTTTTAACCACTCTTCAACCTCGACCAAATCAATGTCGCAAGTAGTTGGTTCGTTCAATTTTTTTGTTGGAATCAATTAATTAGTTACGTACATTCATTTTTCGAGGAAAAATATATAGGACAGTATACATAAAATGATCGCTCATTAGGCAGGAAAATAAGACACAGCCATCGTTGCTATTTTGAGGAAATAAAGAAAATCTTCCAGATCGATTTGCTTTTCTCGTTTGTTCATGGCAAGTATGGAAATGGATCGTCATCTTCATCTGAGAGGTTTGTAAAAGTTGGAATCGTACGAAATTATATTTGATACACGAACATCTCTATATAGCTGCTTCAATAGAATGCTTAGAATCCTATACGGTCGCATACTGCACAACCGTTCTACATAACTTTTTTTCCAATCCATCAAATACAATCACAACTCGATGATGTAGATCTATTGCTGTCAACACTTACTTAATTCAAAGTTATAGCTATCTGAGAGTGCATACAAACATTTCTCCAAATCAATTGGTAAATACTTGAATTGTCAAAATTTCCGAGTATAACTAATGAATAACAAGTCACGTAAGCCAATTTCTTCCATCGGCTAGTTGATTCGTCTACAGGATACGCAGAAAACCACATCAACCATCATTGAGTCTTGTTTCAAAGGAGTTCACTTTTTTAAACCGATTCAAATAAAATATCTTCACCGAGTCTCAATATACCGGTAATCAGATCATTTTGCATAATTTTTAAAAAAACATCAGCCAGGTT